AGCCTTATCTGTTTAGCCTGCATCCAGATATGAAATTTTTTGTCACCTGTATATGTTAGTGGCAAAGTATGAAATGCATGCATTCTGTTGTATATAATGCAGGACATTTTTATGCAAAATATGAAATATGAAAATTATTGCATTCTTTCCTTAGGCATTCTATAGAATGACATGCTATTTAGGCAATATGTGAAAAAAATCCCGATAAGGCTGTTATATAAATGATGTGCATTCCTCAAAAATACAAATGTTATTCTGAAAAAATAATGAGAGTGCCACTAAAAAAATAAATATTCAAAATACGTAAAGAAAAATTAAAGCTGTACAAAACAAAATTTATGCTTTTCTTATTTAAAGGAAATAAAATTTTTCATATGAAAAATATGAAATTGAAATTAACGTACTTGTTGCAACATGATAGGCTTGAATGACATTTTGAATTACATTTCAGTCCATTTTTCAGGCAAAGACATTTCCTATTTTTACACATACATTTGATGAATCCTTCGCCACTTCAATTAGACTGAGCAATTGCAAATGACTGGAAATGAATATCTTCAATTCTAAGCAAGTTCTTAGGGGGGGGAAAGGAATTGTGATCATGCGTAGATTTGTTTTAAAATTGCTCAGACCTTTCAAGTCTGTAGGAAACCATCCTCTGTCACACTCATTTTACAGCTGCCAATATACTGCACGAATCACCTCACCCCTTGTCGATGTCAGGAATAGGAACTTACAGTAGTTCTCAAAGGAGCAGTGGGAAATTTTTTTCCCGAATTCATTTTCATTTTTTGGTGTGTATTTTGAGATTGATTTTGAAGCAAATTTATTAAATTATTTTAGAACAATTTACTTTACCTTCAATAACATTTTTAGCTTTGAAACAAAGGGTGCACATCATCTTTACTATCATGGCCACAGAAGGTATAATTTTTTTTACGTCACCGTTTTGCATGCAAGTGCATCACTCATTTCCTTTAAACACATACGACAGATATCAGAAATAGAAATTTCTTCGGTAAAGATGTCTTCATCATGTTGGTTTAATCCACTGTCTACTATAATCTCATGCATTTTTTTAACAGGCCTTTTTTTCTTTCATAATCTGATTAGTTTCACCTTTTTCCATTGTTTGGATGCTTTCTATTACTTTTTCTAGCTGCTCCTCTGTATTTATGTTTTTTTTTTTTTTTTTTTTTTTTTTTAATATCTTCTGGTAGAAAAAGAGTTGTAAGCCCTACTTTAGGTTTGCACCCAAAAAGAGCTTTGTATGGTGTTCTTTTGATCCTAGAATGATAAGCTCTATTTTTCATAAATTGAACGTAACACAGTCCTTCACTCCAACAGTCAGTTATCCTGCATCTAAGTACAGAGCATATTTTCGATATCTTGATTAGCTTTTTCGACACTACCCTGTCTTTGTGAATGGTGAGGCTTCCCATGTATGATCTTCAGTGCTAGTCAAAACATCTTCAAGCTGGTCACCACATTATTAGCAAATTCTCTACCATTATCAGACTGTAATATAGACAGTGCTCCAAGCAACAAGAATATATCCACTCGATTTTAGGCTACTTCTTCAGTTCTTTTTGATGTTAGAGCCTTAAGAATCACAAATTTTGCGAGATGATCTTGGTATACCATAATAAATTTGCATTCTCTATCTGGCTGAGACTGAAAGTCAATAATATCTACTTAACAACTAGAATTAAATTCAGAAAAAATCATAGGTTTCAGAACAGTACCCTTATTAATACGTTTCTGTTTGTTCTGGTTCACAAAGGTGGATGTGTAGTTCATGACATGTAATATTCATATCATGACATGTAATATTTTTGCATTTGGTTAAAGTTCTTTCAACATTCTATCATATCCTCCATCTCAAATAGCCAAATGAGCTTCTTGAAGTACATGAAATAACTCCGAGTCCATGACGTAATGTGGTACTGTACCGACACCTTCTTTAATGGGATAAATGAGTGTACTTTTGTTTTCTACAATCATCTCATTATAGTGATTCAGCAACCAATATCCTTGGGTTTCTTCTTAGTCATTTTGTACGTCGTTTATTAACTTCTGGTAAGTAGTTTTGGTTAAGAAAAAATCGTTTTTTGCAGCATTAACTCAAATTTTGGATATTTCATCCTCAAATCATCGTTTCATGTTTATAGACCATGACTTCTCCAACGCTATAGCTTGCTCCTCCATTTTCATGCAGCACAGTGAAAAGCTAATTTTTTGTTAAACAAACGTAACCCTTTAAGGGGTACAGGTATATAAAGTATAACAGATGTTTGTCAATTTTTTAACCTCCTAAAAATGCTAATTTTTCTACACCAAAAGCTGTAATTGTAAGTTTGTAGTGTTTCCTTTTGATTCTTAATAGCATCACTTCCCTATGAATGCTCAATATTTTGCAGTTTTGAAATTAATATACCTCATTCCAAGGTATTATATTAGAAGATTCATAAATTCTATTGAAGGGCCCCCTTCAATAGAAAAATTACCCATGCAAAAGAGTCTGTGTTCCTGTCTGTCTAGCCCATAACATAAATCTAGTGATGAGTGCACTAATGGTGCACGATCTAAGTAATTATGTCATGAAAAGTCTATCTTCTCAAAAATGTAAAATAAGTCTCCAAATAGACAAAAATTGTTTGTATGTTACAAATGTATTATTTCATAGCACAAGAAACCCTTGTTTCTTAACATTAATTGAAATGCCACATTCTGGATATAAGCCTCCATCTGAAAGGGACTTAATCATCCAATAATCCATATATGTTGTAAATGCGATGATGGAACTGTACATATAGTGGGGAGTATTGATGCATCATTAATACCACATACAAGTAAACATTTCCTTGATGTTTTGATGCCTTTAAAAAAACTGAAAACAAATTTAAGTGTAAAATTCATTGTAACCAGTAATGCAGCAAATGTGACAAAAAATGAGGAAAAAAAATTTTAGCTTATAGCTTATGGTTGTTCAGTGCATTTGCTTAATTTACTGGCTGGAGATTTAACTATATCAAATGCTATTCAGCATGTTATTTAAGTTGTAAATTCTTGTGAATAATCAGCTTGCTTGGGCCAAATTTTGTGAATACTAGAAAACTGGTTTAAATATACCATCTGAAGTAAGTTGGAAATGCAGTTCCAGTTTAGGAGCCCTATATCACTCACATTTGGGGGCGGAGGCTGGAGCTCGAGAAGGGGCCTTCATATGTAAGTAGGCTGAATTTTTCACTGAAGCAATACTTGAATACTGTAAATTTTTCAAATTTTGCATGTCTTAAAATCTAACTAAAACGATTAAGGATAAAAAATATATAACTATTTGACCGTGCCATAGAAAGTATAATTTTAAAAGGTGAACCTGCTGGGAAAGTCCCCATGTTCCAACTTGAAACTTCTTAAACTCTATTATTATGTGACCTCCCTTGAAAACTATGTAAAGAACTTTCATGCATGTTGTGGAAGTGAAGCAAGATGTGATTAACAAGAATATTGTCGTAATTTCTTAATATAATATTGAAAATCTGTTACTTCATTTGAATGTTGTTAAAATCGCTTTGGATGACATTCAGAATACTATTAAAGTTTGTAAAGATTTTGAAAACAGCTTTAAAAATCTTAATAAAATATGCATATAATCATTTAAACCACAACATTAAGCATCATCATCAGAATATTTTTTATCATATATTTTATCACCAAAATACAGAAATGAAGCCTTACTTAGCAAGGAAGGAACAAGCCTTGAAATTAGTAGAAAACTATGCAGGCGCTGCATTGCTGAGCATAACATCAAAATATATAATTTGCTCCACTTTTTTGTGCAATCCTTTTTGAGACTTAAGCAGTTGAGTCATAACCACACTTGAGTGATTGAAATCAATAGCTCTTGAAAAAGAATGCGTGGGAAGAAAAAAATTGGATGTTCTTGAATAGTTCAGTGTATCAAAAGTTTCATCAGCAGGGATTGAAAGGATGTTTTCAACTTTTGGAAATGTACAAAACAAAAATCATATAGGGGTTGAAACGGCAGCAAAATTTTTCTGTGTTTTGCTTAAAGCTCTGAATGCAATATAATAAACTGTTTTGGAAACTTACGTTAATTGCCAAGAGAAGTATCATTTCTGTAATTATATTTATTCTGATTGCTTATTTGGGTATACATAAAAGATATAACTGTGAGAATGTTTGATCGTTTGTTAGCATGTATGGCATATGTAAGTTTACATTTAAGTGCTTAAAGTGATTTTGCAAGTTACTAATGCCTAAAAGTTTCTGAGATATCTTATTATTTTATATACTATTAATTTATGGGTAAAAATATATATTGCACTTTTTAAATAATTTAATTGGAGGTTTATTTATTTTGAAAATCTGAAGTGCATGGTAACCATTTCTTTAATGTTCTTAAGTTAATGAAAAAAAAATCTAGTTTAAATTTTATCTAAATAAAAAATGCTGGTTGAACCCTCTGAGCAGTATCCTGTCATGACTTAATATATATTGGCTTATTATTTAAAATATTTTGCTTCCTTGCTTTCTTAAATAATGTAAATGTCATCTTAATGAATGCAAGTTTATGAAAATAGATACTAAACTGAGCAATTTTACAAATTTAACTGATATATGCTGTTTAAATACAGGTCTTTGTGACAGATCCAAAAACCCGTGCCTCTCAGAGGGTTAAATAAAAAAGAATTATAGTTTTACATTTGAATACTAATGCAAATCACTTATTTAGTAACACGTTTAACAAGTTCATTTTCCAGTAACATTTGCAGATTCTGTGTATCTAGTCTTTTTTGATTAAAACTGCAATAAAATCCTTTTACTTCCATTGTATTTCACCTTTAAATATTAAATGTGGTCAGGCAGGTCTTTCAATGCATTATAATGTTATTGTATGTATTTGTGGTAGTTTAAACTTTGTTTTTTAAAGCAATGTTTTCATGTTAGCTAAACTTATTTTTATTTCATTTTAGAATCTGCAAACCAGTATTCCAGACGAAAATCAGGTAATTCTCTTGTTACTTTGGACTTCCATTTAAAACTTTACAAAAATTATTCAACTTAATAAATAAAAATTATATATTATACATTTTATATGTAATGTGTACTTTTTACTGTATCCATATTGTTAAAAACATAATGATGTGCTTCACTTAGATTTAACATGAATGTACTGTTCGAAAAACTATTATCTTAATTGGGGGGGATTGCAGTCTGGGTATAGCTGGAATTTAGGATTTGGGAAATGTGGACTCTTTTCTCAGCAAATCTGTAAAACCAAAATCTTTTTCAAATTTCTGTATAGAACATTCAATGATTATGTAAATTTAAAACTTTTAATATTTTATAATATTCAATGAGATGGCAGACTTCTTGTTTGGGCTAACTTATAGAAAAAGGAAGAAATCTATTTTCCTCTTTTTATCTAAAAGAATATCTGTATTTGACAAGATCGATTAAATGTGTTTTAACTTGTTTATGTGGACCCATTATTATATTTTTATGAGCGATGTTATCTCAGAATGAAGAACTTCCTCGAACAGCAATAACTTAGATGTTGCGCAGACTGAAGTTTATTTATTCTCATTACACAAAACTATATACGAACTTTTGGATCAGAGAATCTCGCTGCTAACTAGGGATAGAGGTTTGGAGAATAATTTACTGCATTGCATAACTGGACAGCTTACCAAAATTCTTTACATTCATAAAGAGTCATTCTCTTCTTTCTGGTAGTTTCTCATCTCCAAAGCCTGTTGATATGCATACAATAAGTTCTATTTTAATATTTAAGGAGTTAAGTCAAAAGCCATGCTCTTTATCAAAATGTCTTGCTGATTATACTAAATTTTCAGTTGTTAGCAAAGAAAAATATAAACATAGCAGTTCTTAGAAAGTAACCCCCCCCGGTCTGGATGGGGGGAACGCTTAGCAATTATTTAAGATTGTTGAGAAAGCAATTAGATAGGCAATTGTGTGAATTGATGTATTGAAATATAAAATTAATTTCTAATAAAATAAACAAAATGATACTCCTTTTTTTTCTTAAGAAATAATGTGCACAGTAATTTAGTACACAGTAATGTAATTTTGCTGCACTGTACTTTTCAGAATTTTTCAAATGGTATTGCAGTCACACCTGCATTATCTCTATTATTATAAAATGAAAAATATATGGTATATGATTTTAGTGCAAAGCTTGATAGTTCTAGAGCTATAAAATTTTAAGCATATGCTGTGTGAGTGATGAAGTTTTGTACCTTTAAGTGAATTTTAAAAATTCACCTATGATATTTCTGCTTTAAAGTTGAAACATTTCTTTATCTTTTTTTTTTTTTTTTTTTTTTTTTTTTTTTTTTTTTTTATCCGTGCTTAAGGAATAATTTTAAAAATCTCAGAGTTTTACTGTTTGCATCATCAAACAGAGTGGGAAACTATAATTGAAATGATGTTTATGGCAAATTTATTTATTCCTGATGATTTCTTTAAAATCCGTCAATTTGTTTTTGATCAGTGGGTGCAAAATGGGTAGCCATGAACGATGTCCGAATGAGATAGAGAATTGTTGGCAGACTGGAGGCAGGCAAGTCACAAGCAGAGGTGGCTACCGAGTTCATTGTAATGCCTACTGCCATCTGCAATTTGTGGGAACAGTTTCAGGACACTGAATCCATATCTAAAGGACCTGGACAAGGTTCACAACAACGAGGGAGGATAGTCATTTGGCACATTCAGTGTGGTTACACAGGGCTGCTACTGCTTCACGGCTCTCATGTAAGCTGTATGCTACGACTGGAACCCAAGTTTCATGGTCTATAAGTCGCCTGAAGGCTTCATGAAATAGGGCTGTATTCCAGAATACCCACTGTTTGTGTCATGTTCACTGCTGCCCACAAGAGAGTATATTTATCATAGTGCAGACGATATGTGCCTTGGCTGGACTTTGGTAGAGCACTGTGCATTTTATAGATGAGTCAAGATTCAGCCGGAACACTGATTCTCGGCATATCTTTGTCTAGAGGGAGCCTGAAACATGATACAATCCCTGCCTCATCAGTGAAAAGGATCATTACGCTGGTGGAGGTGTAATGGTTTGGGCAGGCATTCCGTTAAATGGCTACATATCCCTGCATGTGTTTGAAAAAGGCTTCGTGACTGCTATAAGGTATAATAGAGATCTTAGAGCTGTATGTTCAACTTCTCAGGACGTAGTTGGTTCACATGGGACACAGCTGGTCGACGATTACCTGAATGGATTAGCCAGCCAAATCTGCCGACTTTAACCCTATACAGTATGCCCGAGATCCTCTTGGGAGGGCAATTTCATCTTACTATCTCCCTCCAAGAAACATTCCAGAGTTTTATCTGAAAGGCTGACAGACTAATTTCTCTGGGCACATTTCTATGAAACATGATTTAATTAATTCACCATCGGTATATGGTTTCTCTTTCATAGCTAATAAATGAGCTATCTAAGCTGACCTTAGTTACGGCTTCATTATCATTATTTACTTTTATGAATAAATTCTGCTGTAATGAATCACTCCATGTTCAATTTTACAGTTTTAGTTATCATTCATTTTCTTTGAAAATTGAATAATTTGTCAAGTGATTGGTTTGTTAATGGCAAAGCATATTATATTCTTTTTGCATAGCTATTATGTCATTATGTAATAAACATAATACTTTTTCATTTATTTCTATGACAAAATTATTCACACTCCATCCAAACCATGACATTAGCAGTCCATGTTGTCTTACCTGGTTTTAAGAGTGACCTGGCAACAGTGAGTAATAAATAAAATTAATTAAAAAGAGCAAAATATAACAGAGCTCTGATAGTCAGTAAGGACCGACAAATGTGATAGAATGATAGACCGACAAATGAAAGCAAAACAAAGAGAAGTGGCAATGCTTGTTCTATGGCAAAGGTAGACAACATTTTGTTGTCTACCTTTGCCGTAGAACAAGTTCACAGTTCGTCATCTGAATGCGGCAATGGCAGGCTCTACAAGTGGCATCCAATCACATCCCAAATGTGTTCAAATGGTGAGAGATCTGGAGAGAACAGTGGTCAAGGAAGCATCTGTACACCTTGTAGAGCACATTGGCTGATGCCAACAGCATGTGGTCAGGAATTATCCTGCTGATAAAGGGCATTTGGCACCAGCCACAGCACATCATTCACATATCATTGGACAGTCATAATACCCTGAATACAAATTAGAAGTGATCTGGAATCATACGCAATTGCGCCCCAAACCATGATGCCATGTTGTTGTGCAGTGGGGCTTTCCACAGTTGCTGCCGGATTGGACCTGTCTCCACATCAATGCCACACCTATACGTGGTGACTGTCATTGGAGAAACAGAAGCATGACTCATCTGGAACACGACCCTGTGCAATTCCAACATGTACGTGGCTCAAACCTGGCACCATTTCAGACATTGGCATCTATGATGTGCGATCATTGGCAGTCTTAACGGACACCACAAGTGCAGGCCAGTACCCATCAATCAACAGCAAATGGTTCTGATCGATATGGGAACATCCAGGGTGTCTTAAACATGCTGCAGAATGGAGGTAGAAGTGGCTTGTGGGTGCGCCATCGCTTGTCAGTGAATGCATCGATCCATGCAGGTTGACATTACCTAGCTGCATCAGCACCCTTTGAACTTGCCACATTTTCTTGTTCCAGTCATCATCACCACAGCTGACATCAGTGTGAACGTGTCCAGGTGTGTGTCAGCTGACATTTGCCGTATGGACCAAGCTGCCCTTCTCAGTTCTCTCGTAAAATCGACCATGCCCCTCGTAATCATGTGTCTACTTGAACTGCTTCTGTTGACAATGGCCTGCCATTCTCTGCTGTTACATGCATGCTTTGAGACTCGAACAGATTTTCTACAGCGATTTCCCTGGCAGAAATAACGGCACGAAAATTGAACATTCTGTTAAGTTTCTTTCCTTATATTTTCTTCAGCGTGTGGTGGAGAGCTGCACACATCATTCGCATAACTCAGTGACGTGCCTCTATCCTGAAAATTTGCATAATTTTCGGGCAACTCCTTCTTGGTGTTGCATTTTCAGTGTCTGGTAGTGTATAATGATGATTATATAAAATCTTATAATTCGGAATTTTTAACCAGTTTGAAAATATAAGTGTGTTGGTAAGACAAAATGTTAAAAAGAGTATCACATAAAAATATTTATTTTAACACTAACGTAATTCAAATTACAAAGAATACTATTATTTATCTTTAGGAACAACAAGTTTACAAATTTTCTGGTTTTTTTTTTTTTTTTTTTAATTTTTTTTATTTATTTTATTTATTTTGTATCATTTAAGAGGGGGATATAATCTTATACTTGCGTATTTTCTTCAGAGGTTAGTTAATAATTAAACCAAGATGAAACTTACTATGCTTCTTAGAACATTACGTAAAAGAATTCCAAATTTAAACTTACAAACAAATTTGCTTATGCTTGTGAATTTAAGTGATTATTGTAGATTAGTTCGAGAATTAAATCTTTATATGTTTGCACATTTTTTTAAATTTTTAAAAAATTATTTTGGCTTTTTTTCTTTTTTAGGCTTTAAATTTGCTTTTTTACTTTTATACGTGTTTGTTAAAATTTAAATTTTAATTTGTTTAAATTCCAATTTAAAAAGATTTTTGTATTCTAAAAAGAACCTTTAATAAAAATGAAAACTTACCCTTAAAATGTAGAAAATATTAAACTCCTAGAGTGAAAAAAATCTTTGAAATTTCAAAATAATCTTAACACAAAACTTAGTTGAATTTCTTATCAAACACCAGTGAAAGTGAAGGAAAATGGCACAAAAATACAAAGTAAAAATCTTTAAAAATATTTTCCAAATTATAAAGATTTTACTAATCTAAAAAGAATTTTTAATAAAAATGAAATTTTAACTTAAAATGGCAAAAAAATTCATTTTTGCTGAAAGCAAAATTTGCATTCCCAGCCAGAGTTTCAGCTTCAAAGGGTCATCGATTCCTGTCCTACCCAAAGTCAAGGTTTTAGGAGGGATGCTGTATGGAAAGCTGATCTTTGTTCCTCATGTTCCTGT